TGGGGGGGGCGGCTAGCTTGGGCTAAGCTATGTCTAGGAGGCTCCACACCGGCTACATGGGCATAGCTAGCTGGCCTTTTTTCCATGGTGTGGAGCCACGCTTCTAAGTCTGTGAGCCTCGCCTCCAATGCTGCTAGCATCTGACATTTATTACAAGTACCATTATCGCTAAAGGAGGCAGAGGAATAACTGAACATGCGACACCCCGAGCAAGAGAAAGGAGGAGAGGAAGAGGGGGAAGCCATTGCTCTCAATTATGCTACTAGCTTAGCTAGCTTCTAAACTAGCCAACCTAAGGTAGCAAATTCAATTTGGTAGTTAGCAAGAACTATATGGTTAGACAACAGATTTCTACAGCCAAAGTACAATAACTTCAGTTTTGTCAGAATATACTGTAGAAGTAAGAAGTTACAGGTCATCCAGGCCTTTGTCTTTAAGACATGCTTGAGGTTTGACCAGCTGATCTGATTCATCTGGATTCATAGATAAATGTAGCCGAGTATCATCTGCATAGCAATGGAAATTTATGCTGTGTTTCCTGTTAATATTGCCTAAAGGGAGCATGTATAAGGTGAAGAGAATTGGACCTAACACAGAGCCCTGTGGAATGCCGTGACTAACTTTAATCGGAATGGAAGATTCATTATTAACATGAACAAGTTGTAATCTTTCTGACAAATAAGATTTGAACCAACTTAGTGCTGTCCCTTTAATCTCAATAACATGTTCAAGTCTCTGCAGTAAGATGCTGTGATCAATGGTGTCAAAAGCAGCACTGAGATCTAAGAGGACAAGTATGGAGACAAGTTCATTGTCCGAGGCTAGGAGAAGATCGTTGATGACTTTAACCAATGCGGTTTCTGTACTATGATGGACTCTAAAACCTGACTGAAAATCCTCAAACAAATCATTTTTGTGCAAGTGGTCACATAGCTGCTTTGCAGCAGCTTTTTCAAAGATTTTAGAAATAAATGGGAGATTGGATATTGGTGTATAATTAGCCTTTACATTTTGCTGTACACTCAAGACTGATCCTTCACTGCTTATCAGCCTGTTTCAACAGACAGTGGGTCACTTTACAAGGTAGTAATTGTGTTGCTAAATTCCTGTGGAAAGGCTGCATTTTAAGACTGACTATATCACAGGGTAGCAACAAGGCCATCCCATGTTGAAGGTTCTTTGAAATGCAGCCAAGAAATGATTCCTTCTATTGTTTGAAGACCACAATATGCTAACCCCTGGACATAGGAATAAAGCTTACCTCTCACACTAAAGTGACATATTTGAAACATATTAAAGCTCCAAACACTGCTTGAGGTTGTATGACAGAGATATTCACTCAGTAATTGACTACCATGAACCTGCGAACAGAGTTCCCTGCAGACCTCCCTCTTTCATGTTATTAATTCAAGATAAGACCCCAAACCTCCCAAATAATTGCAACCTGCAGTTTTTTGTGGCAGCTACCCCCCTTAACCCTCAGATGAGAAATTTTTATAAGCCAGGATACTCTGGCTCCTATTCTATGCCTACCTATTATTTGGCTACGCTCACACAACAAGTAGCACGACTTACCACCCTCATGCTGTCCCAACAAAGTCACCCTGCCACCTGTTCAACCAGTCCCCGTCCTGATCCTCCCATACCTGAACCGGACATTTTTGATGGTACTGTGGATAAATGCCGAGGGTTTTTGCTGCAGTGCCGCCGGGTGTTCGAGCACCAACCACGGACATATCGCACTGATAGAGAAAAAATCAGCTATGTAATCAACCGACTCTGAGGTAAAGTGCTTTCTTGGGCCAAAGCTGCAGACTCCAGTGGCTTACTCATCGGCACCACCATCACGGAATTCCTGGACGACCTGAGGACGGTTTTTTCTCCATCATCTCAGCAGAGCCAAGCATCTAGGGAGCTTCTGACTATTCGCCAGGGGGCTCGACGAGTCCTGGATTATTCCATTGACTTCCGGGTCCTTGCTACGGAGGCCGGCTGGGAGGACCGCCCATTACGTGCGGCTTTCTGGCACGGCCTCAACGAGAACATCAAGGCTGAACTGAACATGAAGGACGAGCCCCCTGACCTTAGCTCCCTAGTCGACTTGGCCATCCGGATCGACCGTCAACAGGGCTCTTTCCACAAGAAAAGAGCCAGGCAGCAGTCGGCCCCCCGGCCCCGTGCCACAGCAGAACCAGTCGAGGCCCGGGCTCTTCCTCGGCTGGGGGGCTCCAATATCAGCACCCATCGCAACCCAGAGGAACCCCTGGATGTGTCCAAGCACGCAGAAAAGGGGCTCTCTCTCCCACGATGGCATGCTTCTCACTCCCACAGGCCGGTGCCTGCGGGGGAGCACCCCCAGAGGGGTGCCCTCTCCCCGGACTGCCTCTCCGCAGTCCTCGGTCTCCTAGAAGTCAGATGGTCAAACGGACAGAGCTTCCGGCCGCAGCCGTGAAAAGACTCTCCGTTCCTCTTTTTGCCTCAGTTTTTATAGGATTCTGGTCAGTGATTTTTGTCCTCTCATCCGACCAGATGCCGCAGTTTGCAGTTGATACCTTATTTGGCGTGCAAAATCATATTGTTCTGAAGTATTGCATATTTTTTACTGTCAGTCCAAGCCCACTGCCCGTAACCGGCCTCCGCCCCACCGTGATCCAGCCTTGGATTCCACTTCCTCTTTTCTAGAAAACTAAACCATTTGAATACATAACAGAAATACAAGAAACTCACATCTGACTGAAATATCAAAATTCCATCATTGCGTTTTAACAGAACAATCAGAATTACACACTGATTTCACACAACACTATCAATGCCTTAAAATCAAAACATAAAACTTTATATTTTGAATACTTTCCTTTGACCAACATGGATTATCATTGATTAGACATTGATCAAACAATTATCAGTCAAATCTTTACTTTATGCTTAAACATCATTTTTGTTACTTCCTCAGTATGGTGTGTGTCTCTGCTCTGTGTCACATACACACACCCCTGCAGTTCGTCATTTTAGGGATGTGTGTCTGCTTCATCTTGTGTGATTCTGTACTTTTCACTCTGTTAGATGTAAATCAGTTTCCCCCATCCTTTCAATACAACCATTTCACATTTTATTTAATCCATTCACTAATGATTATTTCAAACCAAACACACATGAATCATTTTATGATTATCTTTACTTATTAAAAGCTTAACTTTTCTAAGCATCCTGCCACAGCATTTTAATAATAATTCTTTTGACCTCTCCAACCTCCCCTGGAACTTCCTCTTTCTCCTCTGCCTTCTCTGTATCTTGGTGCTCTTTGAGGCCCATATTTACAGCCTCACTGACACTATCATCAGACAACGATTTATTATTTGCATATTTGGAGTCAAACAATTGACTACCCACTTGTCTTGTGTGTGCTTTTTTTTTATTTTAGAAGAGTGGTCACTGATGCAAAAAGAAGAAATCCAGCAGGGCAGATGGCGGCGTTCTCCTCATGACCTAAACTCAGCCAGAATGTCAAGGAAGAATCGCAACAAGATCAAGAGCACTCACGATTGTCGCTTGGAGAAGAAGGAGATGCGAGTGCGGGATCTTGGCCTCGGCTATGACTCGGACGAGATAGTCCTCTTTAAGTACTGTGTGGGCACATGCCACGGCTCCCGCAAGAATTATGACCTGGCCCTTAAGGCTCTGATGGACAACGGGAGCATCACTGACAAGAAAGTCAGCAGTCACCCCTGCTGTCGGCCTACTCGCTATGAGACTGTGTCCTTTATGGATGCCCAGACTACCTGGCAGACAATTAGGTGGCTCTCAGCGGCCAACTGCAGCTGTGTGGGCTGAATGCAAGAGGACTGTCTTTCCACAGTACACAAACACAGAAAAGCTCTTGTGTGAAAGAGCAGAATGCTGTGAGGCCTGGTGTCTTCAGTGGGTGGCTTAACCCAGATTCATGTGGTCTTAGACATGGGATAAGATCCACAGTGTAGTGGCCAGGACCAGTGGCCCTCCCACTGTTGTTAATGGAGGTTCAGATACCTTCAGATAGAGGCTGGTGGCACCAAGAGGCTCTCTGGATGTTTGTGTCCAGCTGGGAGCAGTGGAAAGCTTTGTAAATGCCACCAGCAATAAGCACAGAGGACAAAACCAGTCCACAGTGGATTATACTTAGCATCTTTTATTCAGCTAACTGAAGATGTTCAGCTGACACAGCAACCTTCTGGCAGCCATGTTGGAGATCTTCATCTCTTTGGCAACAAAATCTCTGGGTAGCTTACTACATTTTTAAGCCTGTGGCTTGTTATGTATATTTGACTGGGAACTGTTGATTTCACAAGTAATCAGTTATTGGTTTCCCTCAAGTACAAGGGGCTAAGTGCACGCAGACATCTGTGGCTGAAATATACTAATATACTACTGTGTGTACTGTAGACTCTAGCAGGTATGAAGGGTAACATTTGTCTTAATTTATGTTCACAAAAGAAATACACAAAATAAATTTGTGCAAACATAATTAACAGAATAGAAATATTAATTATTCATTGTTACTGAATGAACTTTAAGAGATGTCAATGATAATCCACCATTAAGGCTAAAAACCAAATCCAAAGGCAGGCGGCATATGCCAAGATTCGGCAACTTTATTCTTTACAGTGGACATGGAGTGCCAAAACACCATCAGCATCAGTTTTAGCAACCTTACCATTCAACGGACCAGAAAATTATGTCAGTGAAACAAATTGCTTTATGTACAAATTTAATTTGATAGTACATATTACTAATTTGTGCACACAAAAGGTTAATTCAAACAAAGGGTATTAATTACTTTGTGACAATAGAGAAATACTTCAAATCAAGGAATCTCCACTATTGATTTTCATTTGAACTAATAACACATTTGGCCTGTAGGTAAGTCAAGCCCTTTAAATCTGAACTGCAGTATAATGGCAATGTGAAATGGTTGTTGTTAAATTTAATAAAGTTTAAAGGTGAAGACAAATGATGGTTTTAAATATGGTTTGAAAGGCAATTCAACTTCAAATGTCTGCACATAAGCATGATAAGACATTTTAACATTGACATTTTGCACTGTTAGCCTAATTACAGTAGATGGCTAATGAAGTCAAAAGTTAAGATACAATAATCTAAAACATAAGCCTACCTAATCAGAGTATTCAGCTTTAGTTTGAACATTGCTGTGGAGTGGGTGTAAGTCAGTAATGTTAAAATGTTTTAAATATTTTATATTAATAACATCTTTTCTTGCTGGTTGTTTTATACCCTGTAATACTTATCCATCATTTGCCAAAAGCCGTTCATCCAGTGAACCTGTTTGGTGGACCTTATGTCACTTTTGGATATTTCTGATTCAATTTTCAATCTTGTATTAAAGTCAAAATAGAATGACATCAGCAACCTTGAATCAAGCAAAAACTCAGCTTAGCAAGTTGAAAGACCAAATACCATGACTTGAATACAGGCTAATAAGGACTGAGAAGTTTACAGAAGTTTTTGTGTTGTTTTTTTTGTAAGTACTGTAAAATGGTCTTCATAAGACCCACATTTGCTTTCACCATATGATACAACTCTACCTTTGCTTCCAGAGCAGCTCACTAACATACAGTACTATCTAACTCTGGCCAAGAAAAAAAAATCATTATCAAAGCAACTTCAGTCTTCCAGTGTCTGAACAGTTTCTCTCTCCCTCTTTCTCACACACACACACAAACACACACACAGCCAACCAACAGTAAGCTAAATGTAAATGCCACAGTACCTCTGGAGTACTTGTTTCAGCAAAGCTTGTTTACATCTCTGTCAATAGTCTATTGTAGGGTGCCATCACAAACATTGTCATGAGCCATCCATCACTCCCAGTGACATCTTTTCACCACGTGGTCTATTTTCAGACCAGGTGTGACATGATACCACTCACAGCCACACAACCTGTACTGTAGTTTAAACACGAGTGTGGAAAACCTGTTTAAATGTAACCTCTAGTGTTTGGGTGGAAGTGTTGTAGGGCAAATGTGTAGGTCACATCTAATCTAATGACTACAGATCCGTTTCCAGAGAAGGTTTGCAAAGACGCCATTTAAACTTTATCACCACCAACATGATTTCACACAGCGTGAAATGCAACAGAAATTGATAAAGACTGGATGTAACAAAATACTGTATGCTAAAGAGTCAAAGTAGAAAATTTTAAATCTAAAGTCCAGATTTCTTTCACTCATACACTATATTTTATTGTTCAGTGCCACCATTTTAAAAAGAGGATTTTTTTCAGTAGGTTAGATATGATCTGGGAGAAACTGTGATGACAGGTTAACTATACTTAAGGTATGATTCATTAGAAGGTTAATAAAAACTGATTCTATAACAAACTGCCTGCAATAGAAGCACAGTGAAATTTTGATTTCATTTAGATTTCAGTAGCATTTTAATGTAACTTAACATATGGTATATTGCAATAATAAGCCAAAATAAATGATTAGGTGTATTTCAGTGACAGAAAAGAGGACATAATCCACCAGCAGTGGTGCTTGCCAGATCTCTGCCATGAGCCAAATGACATTACCTTGGCTTTAGATGTACAAACCCATGTGGGTGTATGTCTTTGTTATGGCTGTTAACATGTGTCCATGAGACCAGTGAACTGCTCATATTTTGGTTTATTATTGCTATATATGCTATTGTATGTTTCATAAATAAATTACCAGTGAAATTATAATGTAATATCAATTACAAAAATATTAACTTATTATATTATATGCAAAACATTACTGCTTTATGTGCTTAACATTTTTATTCCAGTCTCTGCAGGTATGTGTATGATTTTCATGGCGCACTACTACTTACATTGACGCTAAATACCGACTGGTATTTTGCGGTATCATAGCAATACTGGACTGATTATAAATATAGTGAGCACATGTTTATAGTAACTTTTTGTAGCACTGTGTATCAGTATATTTGTTAGACAGTTTGTTACACCTTGTTCCACCCCTCTGTATGTTTATGAGACTTTGAGAAACATGAGTGAATCACATACAGCTTTAGACATACAGCAGTTACAGATACCACTCCTTCCACATCTGACCACTAAATAAGATTTGGACCCAAAACATTGGAGAATTACAGTGTGCCATCAAATATCATATTGTGGTATTTTTCTTTGGTATAACTGCTCTAACACAGGGTTCATTCAAGCTTGTTGTGTTGAGCTACATTGAAGACTAGTCTAAAAATAGCCACGTGATGCATTGGCCTGTTCTCTACTTTGTGTCTAGGCAGTGTATCTGTGAAGCGTGTGTTTCCACAGATAACACTGGAATAACAAAGTACCTCCACACATTTTACTACTACAATTGGTTCTGCCTCATACTATTCATTTCTTTGAAAAATTTCCTTTTTTTGTTGCTTTTTTATTATTGAGGATTATCTAAAGAATGTTTATAGTCAAGCGCACACATACAGTAATCTCACATTTGTTTCCGTTACACTTTTATGACACAACTAGAGGGTGTACTGTTGAGAAACAAAATAGACACAGTGAAAAGTCAATTCTAACAAAGCTATCACAAACGAAGCTCCAAAGGCAGTACTACTGGACCAGTGCATTTTATTAGCCAAATCAAACAAAGAAATAAACTGAAATACAACAAATACTACAGGGCGGGTCACGGAAAAGTAACCCTGAGCAAGTGGATTGTTACTTGCTACTTTTCCGTGGCCCACCCTGTAGTATATACATTTGTTTATGTGCACATCATATATTATGTATCAGCTGGTGTGAGCGATGACAGCTCCAGCCATGGCCCAGTCATTTTAGCAGGGCTGATGCATCTCTATTTTAACAAGAGAAACGTTCCCTTGTACCTCCTCATGAAAACTAACCACAGTGCATAGCATTAAATATCGGCAGCTCTACACTGCTGTCTGCTGGACAATACTAAAATGCAACACCTCTTCCTTTTCACTGCTTCTTTTGTTCATTGATTTTAATGTAGCATGAAAAACTAGTGGAAATTTTTTTTTGTAATTACCGACAAAATGATAAATAATAATTACACAGTAAATGCGTATAAAGAAACAATGTGCACTGCATTTCACTTTATTTTTTTGTTTCGTTTGGTTTGATTTAGGATTTTTATTTCTTCCATATCAGCCAGCAATGGGTTAGGTATTTATGTAACCTCTGTTATTAATATTCTATTTGTCCCTTAATTCTCTAATAATTCAGGCTACAACTATAATATCTAGTAATTTGTATAATTAATTTGAATTAATGTACATGTTTTAAAGAAAATGTTAAAATGTCTCACATACAAATATATTTTGACCTATCCACAGGGATTCAGCTTTATAGAAACCCATTTAATTAAAATCTTTTTACTGCTGAAAGGCGGCATAATATTACCCATGAAACATGTTTTTAAAAAGATGAAGACTGTTTATGCTTTCTTCATTAATCCAGGCCCACAGTTACTACAGAAGCAACACTTTCTACAAATGGTGAATCCGAACACACACACACACACACACACACACACACACACACACACACAAATCTAAATTTTGGAGTGATATTACACCTGAGTTGAAGCCAGTATTTGTCCCAGTATAAAACTGCAGTAACCAGTCAGCCATGGCGTTCAGTCACTAACTGATGTCTAACACAGGGGTATCCGTCCTATAAGAGACTTCCACAAATGATGATCTCTTACTTTGCTTTTTGTTTGTCTGAACAGAAAAGGGGACACAAGATATCTTTAAGGAATGGTGCAATGTGAAATAAGGCAAATGAGAAGCTCACTCTGTAGTGATTAAATCGCTCTCACTCTCCTCTGACTGTGATAACACAATGCACTGCCATATTTCTATTAAGGGCTGAAATTTATCTTATCCAAGCAGAAAGGTCAAAAGTAAGTGATTCACTAGAACTATTTTGCTACAGAAGTATAGTCAAGTTGCTACACTGATAAAACCGGTTATTTTGTTTAATTAAGCTTTCGGTTTGTGTGCATACAGTAGCTTCTGTCACTGTTTAAGTCAAATCTTAACACCTCTATTAGATGCTATGCATCATGTGGCCTTACTGTACATAAGAGTATTTATTGTTTAAGTTATTTTATTTATTCTTTATTTGCATTAAACTTCTTCTGAGAATGTTTATTACCAAAGAAGTAGCCATTAATGTTTATGTTTTTCCATTTAGCAATTTCTTTTTCATTTTTTCGATCAATATTCAGTCAGGGAGAGGGACACACTTTACCTAAATTACATTTTGAGGCATCATGAAGATGATTATAGTTATAATGACACAGACAGAAGGAGCCATTTTATCTGTGCACTTGACTTACCTACACATTTGTCATTAAGGTAACAGCAACTTTCTAATCCTAAAGCATGCTTATTATGAGGTATGTGTTTTACTAGCACATAACAACTTGCTAATCAGAGCTGTTGCTGCTGCTGTGTGGGTTGTGTAGAATTAGTGTGCGCCACAGTGCAGGTACATCTTTAAACTAAAGAGACATGTTGGCATACTGTATGAACATTTAAATTAAAGCAAACAAAATAAAACCACAAACAGAAAACAAATGACTTGTAAGGCAAAGTGTGATAGATGTAAGGAAATGGAATGACAAAATGTAAAAAATGTTTTTAAATGTAATTAATAATTTGTCATAAAAAAACAAGGTAGAGGAAAATTCCATATAATGCTGTTGTAATGTTTTTTAAATGCTAAATTTAACTTTAAGACATTGCATTTTTATCATTTATCATTTTAATTTACTCAGTTTAAAAAGTAGGAGAATGTTTCAACCTATCAAGGAACACTTCACTTCAACAGATAACCTAAATATCTAAATTTGGAGATGCATGACTTTCACTGGACAGTGACATACTTTCATTGTTCATTTTATATCTCTTTTTAAAATAATCAGTTTTGGTTAAATTACCATTAAACCTTGTAAACGTCTGTAATAATTTTGTCAGCATATACTCCAGACTCCACAGAAGTGAAGCGACGGCAAATCACAAACACAGAACTCTTCAGAAATCATAACATGGAGGAACATAGCCCATTATTTCCATCTTTGTGTAAAACACAACATGTACACTTCTAATGCTCTAAGTTGACCATTATTTTAATTTATCACATCAATTACAAAGATATAATATATAGGCCTAAACCATGTTTATGATGCCTTCAAATTCCTAATGAGCGAGACTTCAAATAAAACCTCATTGAGAGAGGGTTTATCTATATGGCATGGCTGCAGCTGAGTCTGGATGAGTGTGAGAGACTAGATTAAACTGTGACACAGCCTGTTGCCAGGGAACGTTACCAAGTGATGAGTGTCTGGCACCCCTGCTATCAGAAAGACAGCACTCAGCACCAGACCTCTCTCAGATTCATTCAGTCTACAGGGGTCCTGAACCAGGACTCCTGTAACGCTCTGCACCAGGACACTAATGTCACAACCCAACGTGTAAGACAGTATTCTTCTGTGAGCTTGTCAGGTCAGGATGACTTCAGAAATTCTAAATAACCTCATGTAAAAAATTGTCACTGTCTTTATATACTATATGTTATGGTATTGTATTATATTGAATATATTCAGATTTTTGACTATGTATTCTAAAAGGCTTTGTGACCACTATTTTTGTACATGATAAGTAATAAAGGATTCGAAAAAATATTTTGTCTTACTTGGGTAAATATGCATTTATCCATTCTCTGTTCTGGAGTTTGGAGTTTACAGCAATATTTTATTATTAAGCAGTTTTTGTTTGTGTTTTGTCCTTTCCTTGTCCTTGTTCAATATTCAATTATTCTCCTCTGTATAAATACTCCTTCAGTTGTCAGTTTGTTTTTGTACTCCTTGTAGTCAAACATTCCAGCAACGCAAGCTTATTTTTCATTTTCATATACAAAGGGAATTCTTAACACAGTGCACACATAGAAATAAAACATTAAAATGCACATAGAAACACAACATTAGAATTTAAATTTGATTAAAACATTAAATCCTAATTAAAAGCAACAATTACATGCTGGCACAAATTAAAACAGGCAACTGTAGAGACACAGCAGATTTCAAACTATGGTTTTAAGGATTTGCTCACTAAATAAATACAAAATACAGGCAAGAAGGTTCTGGGTTTGAACCTTGCAGCTGACTGGGGCCTTTCGGTGTGGAGTCTGCAGTGTTCTCCCTGTACCTGCGTGGGTTCACTCCGGGTACTCTGGCTTCCTCCCACAGTCCAAAGACATGCACGTAAGGTTTTCTGGTGAATCTAAATTACTTGTAGATGTGAATATGAGTGTCACTGGTTGTCTGTCTGTGTGTGTGTGTGTGTATGATAGACTGGCGACCTGTCCAGGGTGGACCCCGCCTCTTGTCCACTGTCAGCTGGGATTGGCTCCAGCCCTCCCATGATCTTCTACAGGATAAGTAGTATAGATAATGAATGTTGCATGTCACAGGGAATTCCAAAAGCTAACACAGAGCTGAACAGAGAGAACATTTCTTATTCTTTATTTCAGTCTTCCATACGCCTTACTTCTCTGCAAAGTTTTCCTTTACATTTTCAAACATTTTCAAACATTTTCATTTGATTAATTCATCCACTACTGTACCTACGTGGAGGAAATGAAAATAATAACATGGGACCATAAAACATTTGTCTGGGGAGAACATTCATTTAATGAATAAATCATCAGTCCACATCTCTTTGAACAATGATCAATATTTGAATATAATTCTCAAAGCTACTGTTTCGGTGGCTGTAAACACAGAACATCTTTGCATTCAACTTGAAACACTGATCAATAAAAGATCACAGAGTGTGGGCTGAGTTATATAGTTGAACAGTTTCTGAGGCAAAATATGTTCCTGACTGCCGTATCACTGTATAACAAGCACTGCAATCCGAGGACCAGATAAATGATTACACGTGTTAAGAGCAAGAAACAGGAAAACAACAGGGATGCAAACTACAATAGGCTAAATGAGCTTATACAAGATCAATAGAATTATATTTTACAAGTCCATTTGTACAATTTGTTTTGGATTTAATTTAGTGACTTATTTAATAAGGTAAAGGAGAAAAAAGCCAACTGAAACTGAACTATGATAATGATCATGAGGTGAAGTTGAAAGTTCTCCTGGTATAGATGGATGGAAAGAAGTACTTCCTTTTTTAAATAACTCGTCAGAGATTAGCAGGAAGTATATAGTTTTATAGTTCACCTGTGTTTTCATTATGTAATGAGCTGTATTACTTATTAAATTTTAATGCAGTTTGGTGCTCCACATACAAACTCAAAACTGGGCTAGAATGTAGCCTATAATGGAACTGTGATAAAGTATGATTCAGTAGGTTACTTGAGTGAATGTTTATCATATCCACAAAATAAAATATATTTCTAATATTTTTTCTACATGTTCAGTGTGAACAACAGTGACACTGATGGATGAAAACGATGAACGCACTTAATTTCCAGCAGGTGTCTCCCTATAGCATCTAACCGCAGGGCGCATGACCCTTTAGCCTTGCCGTAGTGTTGTGTTAGATCTAGCGCGAAATTTAATCCAGCTGGAGTAAACCTGAATGTAATCTGGTTGCAGTTGCGTGATAAACCCTTTTTAGTCTTCCACAGGGCAAACATCAGCTTAGTTGTGTGTCAAATCAGGATCTTACTATTAATTTTATATTATAGTAAGACGGCAGCTCAGACATGAGCGTCTTCGCTCTTGAAAGAGCTGCCAGCGGTGTTAGCTGTTCCTGGGTAACTAGGGGCTAAACACTAGCAAGACTGAGGCAACGAGTGTCAAACGAGAAGTCAAAGAAAATGGTGAGCAGGCAAAGTTGTTTGTCATTTAACGCTGTTTACGTCGTGCATTAGGCTGTTTGTTGTCAGTGTTAACTCATACTAATCTTCTTCGTTTAACATTGTAATCCCAGAGGAGGAGTCTCGCCCCCAGTCAGGTTGCTAAACGGAAGCAAGGGGGGGATTCTGGTGAGGAAGAAGACTCGAGAGGTGGAGATGTAAGTAACTTAGCAAAGCTAACGCTGCATTCAACATTCAGAGTTACGGTAAACCCTGTTGTTCCTGTTTGGATACGGTACAGAGCCATACACCAAACCCTGTGAGTATGTTTGGCAAATGGATGCTTCCCTGCTGATTGGCATATACACAGACCTTGTTTAACACCTACGGAATAAACCCTGTGGTAAAATGAAGCTTTAAAGTACCAAATTACTCAGTGTCTCTAAACATTAGGCATAAGTTAGAAAACGAGGAAAGGAGTACCGGTAGGTGAAAAACAGCCATGAGTGAGAATTGGTGTTTGTGAAAGTTGATGTGGTTGATATCGAAAAGAATGTAATGACTTTTCACAGGAGAAAAGAAGAAAATGTGACAATGAGATGAGAGAAAACCACATTTCTCCCTTCAGAAAGCCACTGACACAGCTCAGCAACTGGCCTGCATGCATGGATGGTGACAAGCATGTAAGCACTGTTGAACACTGTTTGATCTTTGCATACATTTTATATGTGAATCCAGCAGTGGCTACAATTTAATGCTGTGACTACACACACGTTCAAATGTCTTTTCTACAGGAGGAGTTCATTCGAAAGATCCTCTCCAAGCCATTTAAAATTCCGATTCCGAATTACACAGGTATTATTTTTCTCACCAACTGTCAATTTTCCAAAAATCACCTTTGAACAATGTTCGACACATAATTCATTTGTATTAATTTGAACACAACCCACATTATAAATGCACTATTTAATAGAACATATTAGTCAGTACCTCTCACTGCTTTGGCTGGTTTATGTGCTGCGCCAGAAGTGCTTAATTAAGATATTATGACATAGTGCAGGGGTAGGACAGTCAGGTGACACTGTAGAACCGACGCTGCCCCACTTGTCTGTGGTAACTAACTGTGGTAACTAACTGCAGTGCTTCACTTGCGTAGCACGATTGCAGATGAGTCATCAGATGTGTTGTACTTGAGTAAGGCACCTAGTTTCAACTGTTTTACCATGACACTGCTCCAGTGTCTTTATTGTCCGATCAGCACAAATTTGCTCGCTACTATCCTGCATTTTGTCCTTGCAAACATCACGCTACTAGCTTATTTTACTAAGAGCTGAACAGGACGTAACTGGTCAAGCTGATAGTGAATTTAAAGAACGTCCTCTGTTGGACCACAAGGCAAATTACATCAAACTGACTGTCGTGCTTATTGACATAGATTACGTTTTTAGATTCACACAAAACATTACAGTTCAAATTTTTATTTTTTGACACCTTCAAATCAATGTTTGAAATTTGAATAAAAAATAACAACCCTATTGGCTTCTTTTTAATTTTTAGTAGAGTAAGTAAAGGACTTGTTCACCTGCCGTCTTTATGCATTGCCCACAGGTTCGTTGGGAATCAGGGCACTCGGTCTAAAGCGTGCAGGAGTACGGAAAGCACTTCATGATCCCTTCGCAGAAGATGCCCTGGTTCTCTATGAGCCCCCAGCTCTGAGCGCCCATGACCTGATCAAAGCTGACAAGTAGGTTCAAAACACATAAGAGCTGCACACATAACCTGCACGAGCCATGTTTGTACCTTGAGTACTCCAGATAGAAGCAGGTAAATGATTGAAAACGAGTACTACAATGCAAACACTTTTATTAAGTGGTTTTTATCATGTAAAATGTGTTAAGGCAATTTAATGCAACTTAACGCAGCAACTATGATACTTCAGTAAATGAAAAGACTTTAACAGAATGAAAATGCGACTTTTTGTTTAAACTGAAAACTCAAGTTCATTTGTAAACATACATATTGTATATTTTGTCTTTTTGTATCACCGCCATTCCTCTGTCTCACACTCCTGGATGTAGTTAGAGCATCTGCTACTGTATGTGGCTGCCTGAGATAGGTTTTTTGTATGTAGTGTACTGTAATAGACTGGAGACCTGTCCAGGTTGGACCCCGCTTCTCGCCCAATGTCAGCTGGGATAGGCTCCAGCCCCCAGTGCCCCTATTCAGAAATAAGTGGTACAGATAATGGATGTAGTGTGTATCTATATAATAGATAATGAGCATGCCCTCCAAATGACATATTTACCCAGATTTCAGCATAGTGTGATGACAGCTTCACATTCTCTATAGTTGGTAGGACATCAACATGCCTGTAGTGACTGTCAAAGCTGCACAGGACTCTCTCTTTCTCCAGCAGAGAAAAGGACATTTCAACAGAAGCTTCTCAAGTTTGTTAGCTTTCACTCTGTCCATGCTGCTGTGTGAGTAGTGGTCTGTTTGTGTCCTCTGACCCTCCTTGTCATGCATTACATAATGACAAGGCCATGCCCCCTTCTCCCTGCTCCTCACTCCTCAGTTGCATTTTTTGAATATGCTGGGAGAGCAGAAATTTATAGATTGAAGGTGTTTAGTTTTCCTTTAAATGTTCACCAACACTACCCAAGACCTACAAAGCATTTAGATGTCATATTGAAGAGGGAATGAGCGATGCATGATAACTGCTGAAGGGAGCTCTCTCCAGTGATGATAATCAGAGAGCTCAGTTTTAATGGCATCTACTCACAGCACTTGTTTTCAGAATGGCTTATCTAGATGTTGTTCTGCAGACTTCAGATGCTGACTTTTGTGATCTCTGATGATTCTTCCGTGTAGAACCTGTTTGTGCTTTAACGCTGCACAGTGGGATGGTGCACAACCAAACCTTCCTGCAGCTCCTCTTTGCAGCAACAGTTTCCCTAAAGTGCAATTGTCTACATTCCAGAAAGTAGAAATGTCAAGCTAGGAGCATTTTGCTTTGTTTTTATAGCCTCCCTTGCTTTAGTTGGAGTTAGAGGGCTGCCCAAACTTCTTCATGTCAGTGTTTATTTAGCATTTTTTAAAGCTTATTAAGTAAAAAGTAACAATGTGCTAACATTTGAAGCACATAGATTTTAAAATCCATGTGCTTCAAATGCACATAGATTTTAAAATCTATGTGCTGCTGGTGTTGAATTTTGAATTTTTGTAATAAAGACCTTTCTTTGTTCTATGCAGAGAAAAACTACCAGTCCATGTTGTTGTGGATCCAGTTTTAGGAAAAGTGCTCAGACCCCATCAGAGAGAGGTAAAAGATTTTTCTTTTCCTAAACTTTGTTGATCAAAATTGATATAAAATAATCCAGTCTAATAAAATGTCTCTATTGTATTTATCATAACAGTAGTGTTAGCTACAGGAAAAGTGAGTCAGTGGGCCACAGGGATGTAACAATACTGAAAATTCACATTACAATATTGCCACAATATGATGTTTGTCACATTATTTAAAAGATAAAGAAAATATATGAAAAAAAGTCCCTTGATAAATAATAAATCTGCATTTTTTTGGTATAGTGTAGGAGAATGGAGACACTGAACTACACTAGGACAAGCCACGTGTGCTTTACTGGAGGTGTTTTTCAAACATCACGCTTTACCTTTTCACGAGAAAAGACTTTATGGGTGGTTATTAAGTGGTTGGTTTTGTGTATGTGTATCCAGTTTGTTTGCTCATCTCCATTAAAGTGTAGTGTACAGCTGTGTTCCGACTATTTCTGTGAGATATATCCAGGACTGTCTTTGTCTTAAATGGGGCAGTATTTGCATGTTGTTATGCATTTTGTCAGTTTCCTTTCCACCTGTGTCATTTTTTTTTTGAAACGGGAAAACTAAAATGCAGCTCTAAAAGGTGACAGTGGAGTATCAGCTAAGTCGGTTTCAAATTCTGTACCTTAATGCAGGTATACTAGCAAAATAACCACACATAGTCCCCTGGTAGACATTGTCACAGTCCTGTGACAGTAACGAGAAATTCTATCTTGATATCCCGAAATTACAAATATTGTTACATCCCTAGTGTCATTTTTTTCTTCTGTCAAATTCAAAATGTATGTCTTTAATTTCTTGAGGGAGTGAAGTTCCTGTGGGAATGTGTCACGGGGCGACACATCCCAGGATCATACGGCTGCATCATGGCTGATGAGATGGGCCTGGGAAAGACTCTGCAGTGCATCACCCTTATGTGGACCCTGCTGCGTCAAAGTCCTGATGCTAAGCCAGAGATAGACAAGGCCATTGTGGTTTCACCTTCCAGTCTGGTTAGAAACTGGTACAGTGAAGTAGGAAAGTGGCTGGGAGGACGTGTCACACCGCTGGCCATCGATGGAGGTTCAAAGGATGAGATCGACAAACAGCTGGGTAGTTTGCCTCCCCATCAGTATGAATATCCACAAATCTGGTCATTTGATACCTTGTCATGGCCCAGAATGTGGTCAAGAGGAAATGTCAACTTCACTTTTGCAGTAATTCACTCTAGCAGGGGTGCAAAGTGGATCAGCTTGAAGCGGGAGGACTGCACACAATCAAAACCCAGCCTTTCAGCTTCACCATCATCAGGGGCAGACACAAATAATGAGCTGAAAATCCACTTAATTCACACTTTGTACAGTATATGTATGTATGCGTACACTGTAATATACATGCACTACTAGAATGTAGAACAGTATGGCAGCTAGAACTGAAGGCAAAAGAATACTGAATAAACTGGAACATCTAATAATGATAAAATATGTAATAACTTTAAAAATATCTTGTGTAAATATGAAAATAATCTTAAACACTAAGAAAGTTCCAGATTATTGTGAGAAACTGAGAGAAAATCATTTTTATCTTGGTGGCAGCCATACTGTAAAACAGAGCTGAAAGGAGAGTACAAATACTTGGTGTAGATGTTTTCTAATGAACTTTTCCTCAAGGTAAAACCGTATCTTTTAGAAAATATCAGCATGTATTGTCTATAAATTGATTTGTTTTCTGTGATTTTTAGTGAACTTCATCTCTCAGCATGGTTTGAGAGTACCAACCCCAGTCCTGATCATTTCATACGAGACGTTTCGTCTGCATGCTGAGGTTCTGCACAGGGGCAAAGTTGGACTTGTCATTTGTGACGAGGTATTTCATCTCACGCATTACGCTTCAGAGCTGTCAGGAACCGCTGACTCGATGATGTCACATTAATATTTGTGCATGCTTCAGGGCCATCGGCTGAAGAACTCTGACAACCAGACATACCAGGCCCTAAACGCCATGAGAGCCCAGAGGAGAGTGCTGATATCAGGCACTCCCATCCAGAATGACCTGCTGGAGTACTTCAGCCTGGTCCACTTTGTTAATGCTGGGATCCTTGGTAAGCAGCCCCACATGTTCCAAACAGTTAAAACACATTAGAGCTGTTTCTTCTGCTTGACTCCCCCCTTTTTACTTTTTTACTCTAATGGCAGGTACAGCCCAGGAGTTTAAAAAGCGATTTGAGCTTCCCATCCTCAAGGGTCGAGATGCAGATGCCAGTGATAAGGACAGACAAGCTGGAGAGGAGAAACTCAAGGAACTGATCAGCATTGTCAACAGGTCAGTTCTTATTTTTATTTCATTTTTATAATGTTTTTTCTTTTTCCCCAATATATTTCTCTTTTCTTTCTTTACCTTTTCCTTGGGATGAATCAGACACTGTTTACCTGTGATAGTGCTGCTGCACAGTGAGGAAGGCATTAGCCCAAGTCTTTGTACTTCAAACCACTGCTGCACAATCATCAGGGCCTCGCATAAATTTAAGACCATGTTGGTGGTGGAGACTGTCAAATCATTGACTCACATAAGAAACAACTGTTTATAACTACTATAACAAATCTGGTGATTTATGTCAGATTCTATCTTAATCTGAGTATAAGCACTGAAATTTAAATTAAAAGCCACCCTGTAAAGTTGTTAATCACACCGCTAAAGGCTGTCCGATATGGCCAAAATATTTCAGTTTTTCTTTTTTTAATAAATCTGCAAAAATGTCAAACATTCTGTGTTTTTCTGTCAATATGGGGTGCTGTGTGTACATTAATGAGGAAAAAAATGAACTTAAATGATTTTAGCATATGGCTGCAATATAACAAAGAGTGAAAAATTTAAGGGGGTCTGAATACTTTCCGTACCCACTGTATATAGATAGATAGATAGGAAAGAAAGTTAGTAGGAGCTAAAGGTATAAGCAGATGGAGATCCCTTCGGCAATGACTTATAATCCCTTATCTCCAGGGGCTGCTGGGATTTTCATTTCAATGGACCCTAAATATTCATCACTCTCCCTCTTCCCACCATATCTTTAAACCCTTTTGCTGGTTGTTTGAGACACAGGATCTCCCAAACTGGCAACCAAGCCAG